GGGCCTCCGTGGCGGTGCCGCTGAGGGAAGCGGGGAGGAGGGAATTCCGTTTTCTTCCCCTGCGCTGAGAGGAGCGGGGTCGCGAGCAGCCGTGTCCGTGGCGCTGCAGTACGCGTCGCACGTGCGGTGGGGCTTTTCCGACATCGAGGGAGGTGAGGTGGTCAGACGGGCCACAGCACGTTCCGCTCCCGTGGGTGTTACAGCGGCACTAAATCAGACTCACAGAATCGTTTAGGGTGGAAAAGCCCTCTAAGATCATCGAGTCCAACCGTTCCCCTACCCCTGCCATCCCACCACTAAACCGTGCCCCTCAGCACCTCCTCTGCCCGGCTTTTAAACGCCCCCAGGGCTGGGGACTCGACCACTTCCCTGGACAGCCCATTCCAGTGCTTGACAACCCTTGTGGTGAAGAAATTTTTCCTAATGTCCAACCTAAACCTGCCCTGGCACAACTTGGGGCCATTTCCCCTCATGCTATCACCCAGGAGAAGAGACCAACACCCACCTCACTACAGCCTCCTGTCAGGCATGGATTTGTTTTGGTTGAAGATAAGGTCTCCTCTCAGCCTCCTTTTTTCCAGGCTAGATAAAAAATTGTGCAGCGAACGCAGCTACTGCAGTGTGGGGAAGCTTCACCAACTGAAACTCAAGCGGGGTTAAAACTTTGGTAGAACTCTGAGCCGAGTATTTGGGAAACCCACCGACTCCCGTGAAAATGCAGCCCTCCCCGTGGCCGGACGCTGAGAAGTTCCCTGCCCTCGGCGTGGGGCGGTTGCCTGTGCGTTGGCCTGTCCCCCTGCCCTGGATGGGACAGCCTGGAATTCCTCTGCGCCTGGACAGCCTCTGCACCGGGACGCTTGAGGTTACTCGCAGGTAGTAATGCTGCTACTGTGCAGTACATAAAAAGGAATTTTAATTCCTTTTGAATTTAATACTGGTGGAACAGGAGTAAAAACCAAACAACTGGTCAAGTCTACTGAAAATATTATCTGTAAGATTCATGCTGATGACTGTAAGATCAATTTTGGAAGTATTTTCTATGCAGTCAATTTGGTTTCCTCACATAAAATTTATTGTATGCTTTAATCACCAGTTTCCTGCTCCTTTTTGCTGTTCTAGAGCCAACTAAATAAAGCAAATGAACAAGGGATTCTGTAATGATGTGCATCATTAACAGGACTTTATTAAGTTCTTAATCAGTAACATCTGCTTGCTTACTTCTTCATGGAAGACAAATAGTAACTTGGTTGCTGGAACATTTATAGCTGCTTGCACTAACAAAGAATTATCTCTGACTTTTTGGTCTGAATTTACAGCGAACACAAAATGCCAAAAAGCTGTGCTTAAAATCATTTCCAAAAGGAGGCATGTGCAATAAATCGTTAACAAAGTCATTTACTCTCTTCTAAAATAAACAGGTTGGCACAGCATCATCTTGTGCTTTAAGACAGAAGGCAAAGCAATTCCTTGATACATTTTCTTAAACTTAACATTTTCTGGGCAGGAAGAACATTATCTTTTTATGTAGGTACCATTGCATTTGGCGTTGGTACAGTGCAGAAGCCACAGAATGGAAGCAACAATATTCTGTACAGGAATCTTAATTTCTCTTATGGTTTGAAAGAGCGAAAAGATAAAATTATAATCTAGATACAGTGATAAAGAAACCTAACAAGAAGCTGAAGTATACTCCTCTGTCTCTGCATTTTTTCTAAGAGCAGTCAACAAAATGAATCCACCCCAAGAAAAAAAGTTTCCTTAGCAAACAACCATTCATAGCCACCCACCAAATTGCAGTTTGTTTGGTAAATAGACTCTGGACAGGTAATCTGATGAAAGAGAAGTTAAAACTTGAATTTCAGCCTTCAGTTTAGATGCTGCCATAATTTCCAGCTAAAAGAAGAACAAATTAAGGCGTGATGCTGTAATGGCCTGAGCCAGGGTTAGGTAATTATTTAAATAAGAACTACACTTGTTGGATGTGCATGTAGAGCTGTGAAGCTGGTACTACTGGAAATGGTGCTGCAAAATCCCGGCCAGTGAGCTGAGATTCATCTCGCTGGACGTTCCTGTGTTCGCTAGGGCGTCCCTCACAGTAACACAGGGTTTATAAGGGGAGTATAAACAGGAAGGAGAGGGGACACAATGCCTTTTCTTCCTACTGACCATTTCACACCGTACGTGCCTGAACTGAGATACGTGGTTTAAAAGCTACCGGCAAGATTAGAGGTCTAGTACAGAGCAAGTAACTGCCGTAAGCGCTCCCCTACTTGTAAAGACGTAGCATGTTCTGTAACATTTAGGCAAGCAGTAAAATCCCATGTATGGCACAGGATCATCAGGTGACTCATGGCAGGAAGGCTTAAAACGCTGCCAGCTCTGGCCCGTGAGCCACGGAGGCCCATGGATTCAAAGAGACACTGGGCATGGCCTTGCTCAATCCTCCCCTCTCTTAGCTGCAAAACCTTACTGGTTCTGCGATACCAAGAGTCTGCCATCATAAAGGGGAACAGGATTGCAGACGACAGGATTTGTCTTGTGGGGAGTAAGAAATAGGAAACGATAGGTTTATACATACTTCTTTTTTCCACATCGGCTGACAAGCAATGTAAGGTCTCTTTTGTATACTTGCTAACTTGTTTTGATCTTGCTTTGTAAATGGAATCAGGACATCTTTGCGTATATTTAGTCTGAAAAGGAAATAACATTGTTAAATTTCCTCCTATATATAGAAAATATTTCTTCCAACTTATTTCTTTATATTAAGCCAAAACAGTATATGAAAAGAATAATGGATTTAAATGTCAGTGGTCTTTTTGTGCATTAAGTCAGATTGCATTTCCTGTCTGTGAAACAGAAGAATTCTTCTGTTTTGTTTGGGGAAATAACTAACCTCTCAAGATCAGATGGAAGGAGACCAAGCCACTTTATAGATGGAACGGTGAGATGATGGGCCTCAAAAGACATGGACTAAAATAAGAAAGGTCAGTTATAACATTCAGTGACTTTTAGTTTCAGTTATTTGAGATACATGCCTCCCAAGGTCATGGTCAGTTATTACAAAGATAGTTCAGTATTTTCACTGTCAGAATGGTAGAGGAGCTAAGCTGAAGAAGAGCTGAAGCTTACCATATCCCCTTGCTGGAAACCATTCCTTCAAAGAGACTCGTACCCTTCAGCCAATTTAGGCTGGCCTAGTCTGAATTGGGTTTTGGTTTGGCTTGGTTTTTACAGTCAATATGAGTCTGATTGCCAAAAAAAAAAATTAAGCCTGGATGAGCAATACAATCAGATCTGGAAATTTCTGGTATTTTCTGCTGGGAAGTACCACATCACATAAAAATAGCCCAAACAAAGGTTCATCATGGCTACAGTAAATATCTCAGGGAAAAGTGTAAATACAAATATGCAATTAATGATACTTCTCAGAATACTCCCTCTGCTCCCAACGGTTTGTGACTCCGACTTTCTGAGCCAGAAGTGGTGGTGGTGTAATGCTTGGTTTTGTTGGGCTGCTTTTAGAATCCATGAAAACTTTTGTCATCTACAGCACCCTACAGCAAAGTATCACAGTTAAATTACAAGTTGTGCAAAGGAATACTTCCATTGTTTGCAGGGAACTCGACATATTCTAGTTTCATTTGACACACCTGTTGCTCTGTAATTGAACAAATTAAACTTAAAAGGAACCTGACAATTTAATTTGATCCTGGATGATGGTGTTTTGGTGTTTTATCAGTTTACACACCTTTGTAGGAGAGCTGAAAGTGTGACAGCTCATCTAAAAACTTGGGAGTTCTGTCTCCCTGAATGTCCTTGAGGAATACATTGACATATATTTGAACTCTGACATCATCGATGTCTGACAGTTTTCTGAAGTTCAATTTGGGGGGTTTTGTTGGGTTTTTTGGTTTTGGTTTTGTTTTGGTTTTTTTTTACTTTAGATGTTCTTTCTCCATTGCTCTACTGAACAATTCACCCATCTGCTCCAATCCTCTGCCTTCACCTCAGTCTCCCTGCCTTCCATAGCGTCTTCCTGTACCTCATCTTTTAGCACTGTAATACCATAATGCCTTCTTGTTCCCTTTGCCTCTTCTTCCATAATGTTCCACGCTAGCACATGTATCCATAAGCAAATTCTCATCCCAAAACAAGTTCTTTACCAATATAACATGATTTTGTAGAGAATCACCCATCTCACAAGTTATGTCCTCCTCCTCCCAAGGTCCCTCCAGCCTTCGTTTTCTCTTCTAAGGCAGAAACCAAGCAAAATGGAGAACACTTTGCTATTGGGACTTCCTGAAAACTGCCTGTGCAGCAGGGAAAAACTGAAATATAGTTAAAGGAAACAACCTGTCATTGTTATCCAGGGTTTTTTTGTTGCAGGAAGAAGCCATTTCTGCAGATACACAAGGCCTAAAACTCTTTGTGTTAAAACAAAACAGTAAAAGGCAGTGACCGTTCTAACAAAGGCTATAGCATTTCAT